ACCGCCGACCTTCTGATCGGCAAGTCCTAGGCTCTGTGGTTTAACCCACAGCACCACCCGCGTCCCTGATGCTTATTAGTGGTGCCTTAAAAGTGATGTGCCCAAGATAGTCATACTTATGTATCCAGAAATGTATTATTTATTGGAATGCATTGCAAGAAGGGTTCCCGTGGTTTATGGAAGCGAAATACAACTATATTCACTTGGGTTGCATTAAAAATCAGAACTTAACTGAGACTATGATGCGCTTAGGGTGAGGCATAGGGAATCTCATTGCCACTGATGACAGCATCTAGAAGGCAGTCCATTGATGATCGCTGTAGGAGAGCATTCTCGATTTCTCAAGAGATGTTGCTGTTCATGAAGTGGGGAAAGAGATTCTGTGTTAGACAATGGATTATTCTGTCCAAGGTGCCTAACTTCCCACACTACACACTTTGGCCCCAATGCTGAGAAAATTAGTCAGCACTTGCCTTATCAAAGACCGGTAGGACATTTTAGTGGAACATAATTTGATATAATATAACATGCTACTTTTCAGGTATGAAACTCTGCACAGGGCTCGTGCATTTGCCCTAAGGACATTTTTGGATAGAAATCCTGGTCTCCCCCAACTGCTTTGTGTGCAGTGTAGAAAATCCATCAGCCATTACAATTAGCAGAAAAAGCAACACATGAGTGGAATTGTCCACAATTCTGCCCATGCCAAGTAGCTCTATTCTCTGGTGTTTAGGGTTGCCATACATTCAGAATTTTCCAGACCTCACCGGGATTCAGCCATTGTAAACAGTGTCCAGGTGGAAATCGCTGACATGTCTGGGAGAATCTGGACGTATGGCAACCCATGTCGAAAGTGTAGATTTTGGCGAATTTCCTTAAAAATAGCTCAAAACATAATCTGGTGCTCCAAAAGTCAAAAACTCAACAACTCCCACAGAAAATGCAGGATGATATTTGTACACATGTCACACAACTGAAAATATTGAGAATCCATTCTGGATCTTTTACAAAAGTTTTTTTGTGGTATAAGTAAAAGCTGGGTTTCTTAGTGGGCCATGCAAACCGCTATTTGCATAATGCTTTTTATAGGGTAGAGTAGGCAGCACTGGGGATGAATTTAAGGAATCAAGGGGGCAGTATCCCCAAAATTTAGGGAACTACTGCCCTGTGGGGGAGCTGATTTGGACAGGGACCACGGCACTCCAAGAGCGTTCTTGTGTTTCTTGCTTCAAACTCTGTCTCCTGTGTGCTGTTTTCCCCCTGTGTTCTTTAAACTCTGGCAGTGGCATCTGGAATACACGGGTAGTTACGAGTTCCAAGCAGGGTCCACTGTGGCTCAGAATGGATTATAGGGAACATATTCCATTAATTTTATTTATGTATTTTGGAACTTCTGGTGCCTAGCTCATTTTCAGCAAACGTAACCAACTGGCTTTTGTTTAGATGTTTTATTTCCTGAAAAGAAAGAAAGAAAAAAGATTCCGAGAAGAAATGAGCCTATCTAAGTAAACATGCTGTCTGGGTTTTTATATGGCAGTTTCATTTTGCAGTTGGAGAGAAAGAGTAGCGGCCTCAATGAAACAGATGGCAGACCAGATTTTGTGGGCATAAAATAGCCACAAACTGTGCATCGTGCAGTTTTCCCTCTGCTTTGCCTAGTATGAGAAGAAGATATGTCTATATAGTGGCTGTACGAATAATATTTTAAATTGGACAGCAATTGGAAAAACTTGCTCCCCAAGATTTGAGGCAATTGAATAGTAAAGACCATTTATGAAGAGGAGAGAAACCCTCTGGTGGACTAAGGAGTTGAGCTTTCCCCATGGCAAATAACCACTGTGTGGAGTGAGGTGCAAGCACTGCAGCTTTGGCACAATGTCCCAGTTTACCACACTGCTGGTAACTTGTGGCAAAACAACCACATGTGTGCTGGCAGCAGCTACCATTGCAAGGTAGCATATGCTTGCACAGAGAGCGGCCTGGGGCTTGTGAACAGTGGTGGGTAAGCCTTTTAACTGCAACAGAATTAGCTGCATCAGTGCAGCTGACGTATCTCATATATCCTAAGAATCACGATAGCTGTTGGTTAAGATAATAATGCTAAAACAACCCTTCCACTAATGCCTTTCATAAGATGAGATTGATGGCACATACTGTGGTTTGTGCTGTCATAGGTGTGAACAGAGACATCACCTTGCCAACAAAGGTCCGTATGGTTAAAGCTATGGTTTTCCCAGTAGTGATGTATGGCAGTGAGAGCTGGACCATAAAGAAGGCTGATCGCCGAAGAATTGATGCTTTGAATTATGGTGCCGGAAGAGACTCTTGAGAGTCCCATGGACTGCAAGAAGATCAAACCTATGCATTCTGAAGGAAATTAGCCCTGAGTGCTCACTGGAAGGACAGATCGTGAAGCTGAGGCTCCAATACTTTGGCCACCTCATGAGAAGAGAAGATTCCCTGGAAAAGACCCTGATGTTGGGAAAGATGGAGGGCACAAGGAGAAGGGGACGACAGAGGACGAGATGATTGGACAGTGTTCTTGAAGCTACCAGCATGAGTTTGACCAAACTGCGGGAGGCAGTGGAAGACAGGAGTGCCTGGCGTGCTCTGGTCCATGGGGTCACGAAGAGTCGGACACGACTAACGACTAAACAACAACAAGGTCTGAACATCTGTGGGATTAGGGTGAAAGTTTATAATCCCCCAAACCACTTACTTTTGAGCAAGACAGGCATAGCTTCATCATCCCTATGTGGTTGGAATAAGACTTAAGAAGAAAGGAAGCTGCCTTTTATGATTGGTCCATCAAGCTCAGTATATTATCTATCCAGGCAGGGTTTCCCAAACTTGGTTTTGCTGTTGTTTTTAGACTGCAGTTCCCATCATCCCTGTCCACTGGTCCTGCTTGCTAGAGATGATGGGAGTTGTAGTCCAAAACAGCTGGCAACACAAATTTGGGAAGCCCTCTTCTATAACGACTCACCAGGTCTCCAAGGCCTCGGTCACGAGTCTTTCCCAGCCTTACCTGGAGATGCTGAGATTGAACCCTGGGCATTCTGCATGTGATGAAAGGTATGTCCTTCTGCTCAGCTAAAGCCTCTCCACATTGGGGTTTGTGGGCTAAGGGTTTGCTCACATATTACATTGTGGTAGACAGGAAGCCTTGCGATCTCGGTTGTTTGAGTGTTAACTCTCTGATGAAGATCAGATCCTTTACATCTATGTGGGATTCATGGTCAATCTCTTACTTTTACTCTATATCAGTGCTTAAGATAAGTGGCTAGAAACAGTTTGGTATTGAAAGGGCCAGCTATGTTTGGGATTCCACAGGGTTTGAGAAGAGTCTTGGAATTTGTGGTGGCAGGCGTTCGTTTCTCTTCTCCTAATCATGGAGGTTTCTGTCTGATATGTGTGGTTCTGTGACCTCCTTCTGGGTCTGAATAAGCGCATTGTGTTGAATGAGAGGTGGGCTGGGTTCTGTGATGTATAATCATGGTGGCCCTGCCATCGTCATGTGTTGATTGGTGTGCTACTGCCATGGGTACTGTGGGGTTGTCATTGGGGCGCAGTGCGGCCAGAGCTTTTGCAGAAGTGGCTGGTGATGGTATGCCAATCTCTTGTTTCTCCTGTTCTGTTGTTGTTTGTTTTTGCTTTTGCTTTTGGTTATGCAACCTAGAAAGGTATAGCATTGTGACAACTTCACAAGGGTGTTTATATGCTGGCATTATCCTGCTGTAACCCTCGACACCATCAGGACTGAGCGGCAGATGGTAGAGAAGAATTAACTTCCATAAAACATTGTGAGGGACAGTTAACAGATAAAACTTTCCCAGGTTTAAATTGTTACTGATCCTTAAAATTCTGGAGAACGTTTGGGTTCCATTTCTTTCCTTACCTGCCTTCAATCCTTTCTAAATCATTTTAGCGTTCTTCACATGAACGTGGCAAATATTTCCGAACCATATAACTAATCAACTCTCACGTGAAACAGTGATAAATATTAGTAAGCACTTAGTGATGTTCTGCTAATCAGAGTGCTAGCATAGTTAAACACGTCTAACCCTGTAATTTTGTGGCATGAGAGAGTGCTTCACGCTGTGAAATTTAGCTGATATATTAAACACAATGTTGGTTGGTTGATCTGGTAGCCGAATGGAGTTTATTTTCAAAATGGAGCTTTCACAAATACGTTCAGCCAGAAGGAAAATGTAAATTTATGTATGGTGTGGCAATTTTCATGGTTCTTGCCATTCAACTTGTAGAGCATTTTTTTCATCTTTTCTGGGTGAAACATAATGTTCCTGATTTTTGGCGGATGCTGGTGGCATGTGTACAGCCTTTTACAGAAAATTAATCTGTAAAAGGTAAAATCAGTCTACAAGTACATTGACCTCCAGTCCCAGCCCACCGATGAGGCAAGGTGAGTTGCCTACCTCGAGTCGCAGAAGCCCAAGAGGCAGTGCCCACCCCACCACCACTGGCATTGGCACTGGTTTCTGGCGAGATCTCACCGGTAAGAGAGGTGTGGTTCTACCAGAGGGGAGGCAGTGAGAGGGCGGCAGTGAAATGGGATGTGCCACCCGTTTACTGTTGACTTTTGTCTCTACAGTATTTTGGTAAGAAATAAGCCCCCTTGTCTCTTATTGTGTAGCCAATGAAGGGTGTTGCATCTCTGTATTTATCAAGACAGGAAAAGGCCTCTAGAGTGACAGCTCAACCAACCTGAAGATGGAACTTGCAATATAATGGCTTTCATCCTTCCAAATTATGAAACTGTTGGTTGATGACACTTACAAAGCCTTAATCAGGGATGTGAAGGTGGTTGACTCTCAGAAGTGTCACTGAGTGTTCACTGTTTAACCTGGCGTGCATTCTTTGCATATTCAAATCTTGTTTGTGAAAGATGGATTCAGAGATAGTTTGATTTAAACGTTTACTATAGGTGCGTTCTGGAACCGTACGCAGTTTTGCATTAACATTTTCTGTATTTTGAACAGGCAGAAATCCTCAGCGTGCTCAGCCACAAAAACATCATTCAGTTTTATGGAGCTGTTCTCGAACCCCCCAACTATGGCATAGTTACGGGTAAGTTGCAAGCCTTCCTTTTGTGGTTTATGCAGTGCCGGATTTACGTATAAGCTAAACAAGCTATAGCTGAGGGCCCCACTCTCTTGAGGGCTCCCCAAAAATATACTTCTTCTTAATTGTATTTCACTATTAATGTACTTCTTAACTGCATTTCTGTTCAGCAATTACTTTGTTAAAATACATATTTTTGTTATGTGCAAATGGCTTTAGATACCTATTAGGTCCATAAATTACCATATAGCATATATTCAACACAAAAAAAAACCAGCAACAATTTGTTGTTGACAAAGGACAGCTGGACATATAAAGGGCCCCATTACCTTTAGTAGCTCAGGGCCTCATCAAACCTAAATCCGGCCCTGGGTGCGTGTGTTTTACATTTAAGAAGCTCTTATTGTTTCTGAAATGCTAGGTACAGTGGTACCTTGGGTTAAGAACTTAATTCGTTCTGGAGGTCCATTCTTAACCTGAAACTGTTCTTAACCTGAGGTACCACTTTAGCTAATGGAGCCTCCTGCTGCGGCCGCACTGTGGCAGCACAATTTCTGATCTCATCCTGAAGCAAAGTTCTTAACCTGAGGTACTATTTCTGGGTTAGCGGAGTCTGTAACCTGAAGCGTCTGTAACCCGAGGTACCACTGTATCTGTATTTGCAGTGACCAGTGTATTACTACTTTTGTGTAGCTTTAATGGCCAGAAAGTTTTAACTCCTTTCTCTGTTTAACACTGCTCACAACACCAGTGTGCTTCTGTCTAAAAAGAGTTCTTTCTGCAGTTATATTTTATACTTTGCGCCCTGCCCTGGCATCTGTGCTACAATGGCTACGGAATACTCCCAAGAGTTTACAGGCCAGTCTTCAGATTGAGGCCTAGGGTTTAGTGCCCTTTGCCATCCTTTCAGTCTCTGAAAACACACATTGCACAGACTGAGATCCAACAACTGTTCCTGCACTTGGACTGCTGATTGCTGTATCTCCCACTTAAAAAGGATTGTTAGGAAAGAGATTGGAAATAAGACTGTCAATATGATAATGCCTTTGAAATACTGAGCACACACCTCAGAAAGAATGCCCCGCCACCAATAAAGAAAAGGTTGTAACCAGTGCTATTTTCCCAGAAAAAAACCCGTGAACTTCTCCCTTGTTCTCTTAGAACATTGGGGCTTTTTAGGATAGAAAAAAAAGGTGAATAAGTGGGGTGAGGGAGAACTTAATAGCAATGTATACAATTATGCACGGTATGGGAAACTGCATAGAGAGTGCATGTGTTTTTCTCACCCTCGTAAAACGAGGACCACACAATGGAGCTGAGTGTTGGAAGATTCAGAGCAGCAGAGCAAAATTAGTTCTTCATGCATAGTTAAACTATGGCATGAACTCTCACAAGATGCAATGACGGCTACCAACTTGGAGGACTTTTTAAAAGAGTGTTAGACATATTCATGGAGGGCATGTTAACTGTTTTTAATAAATCAAAGTCATTCCTTTTTTACATCAAATAAACTAGATGGATAGTTCCATTGGTTAGCATGGTGCTAATAATGCTGTGGTTGCAGGTTTGATTTTTGTGTGGGACAGCTGCATATTCCTGCATCAAAGGGGGTTGGATGAGATGACCCTCGAGGTCCCTTCCAACTCTACAATTTTATGATTCTATGATTATATTTTGAATTAAATACAAATTTGCTTGACATGTGTAGCTCCTCCTCAAAGACTGCAATGCAAATATCCTTACTTTTATGTGAGTTGTTTACACATCTTTATCTCTCTTAATTGGCCAAACTGTTGTATGAACAGTTTACGCAAGTTCTTGGTTGAAGGGTATGTAATTTGAAGCATGTGATGTATACGAAACAAGGCACATGGATGTGCTTGGAAGAGCAAAGCAATGGAACTGCAAAAACAGGACGAGCAGCTTATAAAGCAGCATGAACTGAAACGAAGAAGCATTATGTGTTAGAGAGTCTTTGCTGATTTGTATATTTTTTAAAGTATTTCATCAGAACATGAACCCAGGGAACAGTTTACAGTGCTGCGTGCAAAAAAAATATGAGAAATAAGAAGTGGTAGATCTTAAGACGTTTCAGAGATGACACTTGGTTTATTTGAAATTTTATGAACCTAAAGGTCCTGTGAGGGACGCGGGTAGCGCTGTGGGTTAAACCATAGAGCCTAGGACTTGCCAATCAGAAGATCGGCGGTTCGAATCCCCACGACAGGGTGAGCTCCCATTGCTCAGTCCCTGTTCCTCCCAACCTAGCAGTTCGAAAGCACGCCAAAGTGCAAGTAGATAAATAGGTACTGCTCTGGCGGGAAGGTAAACGGCGTTTCTGTGTGCTTCTCTGGTTCGCCAGAAGTGACTTAGTCATGCTGGCCATGTATGCAAGATGAGCGCCGCAACCCCAGAGTTGGCCACGACTGGACCTAATGGTCAGGGGTCCCTTTACCTTTACCTTTACCTTTAAAGGTCCTGCATGAACTGGAAATGTACTTCAGAACACACCACAGAATCCAAAATTTGTCTTTTCTATCAGCACCAGAAGGCTGAACGGAGTCTGATAAGGCCCTCCTGCCAGAATTGGTGGATTATTGCTGAAAATTTTCAGAGAGCACACCCTTAAAGGCCCTGTGTCACTCTCCAGTACAGTCAACTCCCCATTTGCATGCGTTCAAAGCGTGCTCCTCATGTAAATGCTTTTCATTAGGAAAGCCACACATCACTGTGCACCTGTCCAGCATTAGACAAAGCCATTTTTAAAGATGTGTGCTATTTCTTCACAGAATATGCTTCTGCTGGATCACTGTATGACTACATAAATAGCAACAGAAGCGAAGAGATGGATATGGATCACATAATGACCTGGGCAACTGATATAGCTAAAGGTAAGTGAGATTCATTGGTAACAAAGGGAAATTTATTGCAATAATTTGAAAAAAAAGGAGCAACATTATCTTTAATCCTTAGTCTAAATTGTTCACATTCTCCAGTGCTATCAACTTGGTTATCTTCCACGAAAGCTCCCAAGATCTACTAGTGAATCTTGATTTACCAGATGCTTGGCACAGGATGTAGTTTAAGGAGATGGTTTATTTCACCCGGGTCAAATACCCGGTTTGGCACCCACCATGTGCATTTGCATGCATAAACACACAGAGACTGGGAGCCTCAATAGCGCCCCTGTGGAGGCTTTACCTGGGGCAAAAAACCAAGCTAGCCTCCCCTTAGCTACGGCTCTGGAAATACCTACAGAATTTATTTATTTCTGCTGTTCTCAGCTTCCGTTCATAAGTAATGTTCCCATTTTCTTTATATGGCATCTTTTTAGGGCAAAAGGCTTCATGAGAATGACTTCCCTGTAGGGAGAAAAGGGGTCATTATCAATATTTGAGCTGGGCAGAAAAAAGCTTTTTAAAGATTGATTGAGCATCATAAAATGCAAATATATTACTAATGTAATATAGACTCTGACAGAACCAGCAAAGGCCTGACAGAACCGTTGGACCAACTGCATCCCACCTTCTTTAGTGGCTGCTTAAGACTCTAGCCCAGGACTGGGAAATTGTGTCAACAGTTGGCCTAGGCCAGGCAAACTTGGCCCTCCAGCTGTTTTGGGACTACAACTCCCATGATCCCTAGCTAACAGGACTAGTGGTCAGGGATGATGGGAATTGTAGTCTAAAAACAGCTGGAGTGCCAAGTTTGGCCATGCCTGGCCTAGGATGACTCTATTTCTAATAATAATAATAATAAGAAGAAGAAGAAGAAGAAGAAGAGGAATAGTAATTTTATTATTTATATCCCACCCATCTGGCTGGGTTTCCCCAACCACTCTGGGTGGCTTACAACATATAGTTAACCATTCATATGTTTTAGGATTTTAAAATTGTATACTACCTAGGATGCCTTGACAGAAATGTGGCATGCCGTACTTTTCCATGTATAAGACAAGGGTTTTTTCTTTTAAAAAATAGTTTAAAATTTTGGGCTTCTCTTATACATGGGTAGTATACGGGCGATTGGGGTACGGGCGATCGGCCCAATCACCGTGATTAGGAGATTGTCAGCGGCAATTGGTTGGGCGATTTCCACTTGCTGGCGGTGAGCAGGCATACGATTGGGGGCGTCTTATACACAGGGGCATGTTATACACAGAAAAATACGGTATAAAGGCTATACATAAATAATTGAAGGCCTGTTCACTTGCTACTTTGGGGAGGGGGAGAGACTTGTGCTATGTAGCCGTTCGTGAAAAATGCACACACCCTTTCCTTCACTGAGTATTTTTTTTTATTTGAATGTGTGTCTTCCTCACCACAGAATTGAAATACATGAATTGCTCCAAGATTTGCATTTGGCTTGTGAAGAAGCCATTGCAAGTGCTGATAAGACGTGATCATGTTATAACATAGATTTTCTTCCTTTCTTTTTAAAAACCATTTCCTTTTAGGAATGCACTATTTGCATATGGAGGCTCCAGTCAAAGTAATTCACCGAGATCTGAAGTCCCGAAATGGTAAAACAGCATGAATTTACATGTTCTTGTTTTTCTTGCAAATCCTGGTTTTTCAGTGCTAGTTTCTGAACACAGGAAAGCGATTCTACCTTCAGTTAAAATGCTTACTAAGCATTGCTGGAAAACACTTCAAAACATGTTTCGATTTGCCTCTAATCCTGTTTGTCTTCAACAAAGTGTATTTAGCTTGCTCTCTTTTTAGCTTCCTTGAACTTTACCCTTCTGTACAATTATTATAAGATGCATTTAGGTAAGCAGAGTTTTCGTGCACCTCTGGACAGTGGCAAAATCAGAACACATTAGGTTAGATTCCAGGATAAGTTAATTGTCCCATGTATTTTAGAGGGCACTAAGTTAGTCATGATTAACTTTCTATAGCGCTTTTCAGTGGGACATCTGCAAGTAACCTCGGGCCTCCCCACACCTACCATTTATAGTGGAATAGTTGCTGGGGTTTGGGGGATTTTGGGGCATGTTGCCACACAGTGTCAGCGTCCTTCAGCTAATATTCCCAGATATTGTACTCAAAACCCTGCTTTTACATTCAGAGATTTTCCGCCCGGGTGTTGGTTACAATGGCCGAATCCCAGCTATGTCCACGAAATTCCGGAAGTGTGGGAGCCCTAGATTTGGCAGACAATTTTTTATGCCACTTCCCTCAAACCAGTGGAAGATGTTAAGTTTGTGAGCTCAGTTCAAAGGAGATACATGACAGATAGAAATGATGGCCTTGGCAGCAGTCATGAGCCGAATACAAAATTTCATCACAATAACCAGAGTCACCATACTTCAGGCAAACATGTAGTTCCTTTTCTAATCTCCTCTACCCCCACAAGATCAGTATTATTGAACAGTAGGCATAATAAAAATAAAAAAAATCGCAAAAGTGCTATCCCTATGTGCAGGCACATAGCACCAACAATAATTGCCTGGAGGGATGTAAGGCTACGTTAGGAGAGTGACTACAGCCATGGAACTTTTCTCAGTTTGGGCAGAACCCTCCATTAGCGTGGAAAGGAAAACTCCACACCCACTCTCTAATAATGACTGTGGCCAAAGGTGCAGACAATTAGCTACATACAGTCGTACCTTGGATCCCAAACTCAGTACTTGGGCTTGGTATTTGGGCTTGGTACTCGGACATTTTGGCTCCTGAATGCCACAAACCTGGAAGTGAGGTTTGCGAACTTTCTTTGGAACCTGAACATCCGACAGGGCTTCTGCGGCTTCCGATTGGCTGCAGGAGTTTCCTGCAGCCAATCAGAAGCCGCTCTTTGGTTTCCGGACGTTTTGGATTCTGTTCGACTTCCAAGGTACAACTGTATTCACTTTTAAAAACGTTGGATCGACCAGCAACTGTTCTGTAAATGGTAAGTGTGGAGAGGCCCTTAGTCTGGATTGAGCCCACTGCCTTGTGGAATGTGCATCTCTATTGGCCATACTGGGTGGGGCTGATGGGAATTGGAGTGAACTGGAGGGTCACATGGTCCTAATCTGTTGCTCTAGTTGCACAATGAGTTAAAATATGTTAAGAGTTCTCCAGCCATGAAAAAACATGCTATGAGTTGCAAGCCATGTCCTTGTAAAGAAAATGGCTTAAGCTATTGTTAATGCTCCAGGTGAGAGGCTGTTGAACCAAGTTCAACACAAAATATCTGTAGCTTTTCATCCATTGATCTCTTCCTGCTTGGTAGTAACTGCAGTTCATGAATCTCTGTGGCTGTTATGCAAGATAGAATTGCTTTGTGCCAAATGGGATTAGTACTGTGGGATACACCCAAAACTAACGTGCAAAGGGGGGGGAGGATGAAAGGGGCCTTATTTCACAGTAATGTTGCTATTAGTTGTTGCTTTTATCCTGAAAGCATTTTTCTCTTACAATCACATTAAAACGGGCTGTGCCTCATTTTCTTTTCTTGATTTTTGACCAGAGAAACCCAATGTTACCTCTACGTAAAATATATTTTATAACTGGTACTTAGATACTGAAAACCAAACATTCACAATTCTGTGTAAAGTTTTGTCTGCAAACACAGATAACTTCGGGAAACTGCTTCGGAAAACGTTTTGTTTGAAATGCGGTTGATCAATCTTGTAATTTATTTAATGCTGTGCCCTTTTAGTGTTTATTGCTGGGTATTCTAATACTTTGACCAATTATTTGATGGCCCTTCTGGCAGAGTAGGAGAACTCCATGTTGGATTAGACAAACATCCAGCCCCAATGTTTTGGGAAAGGTTTTTTTTAAAAAATAGAACTTTCATTTTTAAACATTTTACCCCACCCCCACCCCGTAAAAGTTGTTTTAAAATCCGTTACTACAAAATAAAGTTAGGCATTGGCAAAATAGTCAGGACTATATAACACCTGTGACTTTGAACACTGACACGAAACGGGGACCAGCAACACCAGTCTTAAAATCTTTACATTTTAAGTGAATTATAAAACAAAGAATGATGAACACACTAATGAACAAGGTCAAATCAGGGCATGGTGCATGGTGAGAGAGAAACCTGTGTACTACTCCAAATATTGTTGGGCTCCAGTTCCCATCACTACAGCCTGCATGGCCAATGATTGGGGATGATGTCAGTTGCAGTCCTGGGCCACAGGTTGCCCACCCCAAGGCAACACCCTTTCCCTGTTATTGGCCAGCAGCACCTGCTGCATAGGGGTATTCTTGTTCTGAATAGAAGAGGTTCTGTTTCGCTAATTGTCTGTTATAAACCGTTAAAAGGGAAGGTAAAGGACCCATGGATGGGTTAAGTCCAGTCAAAGGCGACTATGGGGTTGCGGCGCTCATCTCACTTTTCCGGCCAAGGGACCTGGCGTTCGCCCACAGACAGCTTTCTGGGTCATGTGGCCGGCATGACTAAATCACAACTGCCGCACGGAAGACTCTGACGAGTGCCAGAGGGCACGGAAACGCCATTTACCTTCCCGCCGCAGCGGTACCTATTTATCTACTTGCACTGGTATGTTTTTGAACCGCTAGGCTGCCCAAAGCTGGGGCAAAGCAACAGGAGCTCACCCAGTTGTGCGAATTTGAAATGCCGACCTTCTGTTCGAATTCACTTGACAGGGTGAGCTCCTGTTGCTCTGTCCCAGCTTCTGCCAACCTAGCAGTTCAAAAGCATACTAGCGCGAATAGATAAATAGGAGCAGCAGGAAGGTAAATGGCATCTCTGTGCGCTCTGATTTCCGTCACGGTGTTCCATTGCGCCAGAAGTGGTTTAGTCCTGCTGGCTACACGACCCAGAAAGCTGTCTATGGACAAACGCCGGCTCCCTCAGCCTGAAAGCAAGATGAGCGCTGCAACCCCATAGGCACCTTTGACTGGACTTAACCATCCAGGGGTCCTTTACCTTTTACGTTTTACCTATAAACGGTTAATGTCTTCTAATCTACTTTAAAGCAATGTGGTTGTGTGTATACTATGTTAATTATGCTATGTGTAAAGATTTATCCTTTATATGTAAATTGATCCCAAATCCTAATATTCCGAGTGATATTAGATTGATTGATAGATAGATTGATAGATAGATATATAGATGATAGATAGATAGATGATTGATAGATAGATCCCTCTGTTCACTCTCTTCAACAGTTTACATAATTTTATAAACCCACGTCATTTTCTCACTCAGTCATCTTCTTTTCTCCCTAAACTATAATACTGTGAATATTTTAGATTTTTTGTTGAGAGTAGGTGCTCCAATTGCTAGATTATATTGGCTTTCCTTATCTGACACCTCCTGCTCTGTGGTAGTCTGAATATGCCAGGTGTCATGTCTACAGTATAGATTTATATGACATGGCATTATAATATCCGACAGTTTTATCTTCAGTCTCGCTCCTCAATAATTTTTGACACTGAGTATTTTCTTTTCCACTGTCATAACGCGCTGAGTTTACTCTCAGTAAGCTATCAACCCTAATATCAATATTTCTTTGGTGACCATGGACAATTCAGTATGAGATATTTCAGTGTCAGTTAGATTTATTGCCAGACGATTCAGCTAGAGAAATGATATGAACTGTGCTTTCCAGTATGTACAAGCCCGTCATCATTAAATAATGTAAATAGTTGTCATGTAATTTCTTCTTACCCTTCTTTCTTTCTTTTTAAATTTTCAGTGGTCATAGCTGGTGATGGAGTATTAAAGGTAGGAAAATATAAAGCACCTATAAAGTTTATTTGCTGTTGCACCCTATTTTGCATCATAGTTGTCCCCCCAGCTCAAAAAAATGTGGACGCTCATTTTTGTTTATATACTGCTTTTTCTAGATATGCGATTTTGGTGCTTCAAGATTCCACTCCCATACAACACACATGTCTCTGGTTGGTACCTTTCCTTGGATGGCTCCAGAAGTTATCCAGAGTCTGCCAGTATCTGAAACATGTGACACTTATTCGTATGGTGTGGTGAGTAGCCTATTTCTTTGTACACTACCATACACGTTCAAAAAAATTATCTTTGGAGAGGCTATCTAGCTGGCCTTTCAAGTCTCATCTAACACAAAGCCAGGAAAAGATATTGCTGGTTGTAATATTTTTAAAAAACATTTAGAATTGGTAGCCACGTGTCACACAGAGTCCTTCGAGTGGCTTGCAGTGTACAGTCGTACCTTGGATTCCGAACGCCTTGGTACTTGGACGTTTTGGCTCCTGAACGCCGCAAACACGGAAGTGACTGTTCCGGTTTGCGAACATTCTTTCGAACCCGAACGTCCGATGGGGCTTCTGCGGCTTCCGATTGGCTGCAGGAGCTTCCTGCAGCCAATCAGAAGCTGTGCTTTGGTTTCCGAATGTTTTGGAAGTCAAACGGACTTCCGGAACGGATTCCGTTCGACTTCCAAGGTACGACTGTATTTAAAAACCTTAAACATAAATACACTGTGATATCAACATGTTAATACAAAAACACATGCAATTCGTAACAATCTATAAAATACCCTCCCCTCAAAAAGACAGATGCAGGAAGCTCTATCAGCACACTGACAGACATACAAGGCACACAAATCTGTTGAATGTGTACTTGTGTGCTCATTCCTTTACAGCTGCCGCAGTATTTCTTGCACACAGAAACACTTTGTTGACAGCTTTTCTTCAACATGATTCTTGTGGTGCGTGTTTTGCCTATGTTTCTCTGTCATGCGTCCTGTTCAGATATTACTCTCCAATCCTGATAGGACAAACACCAAGGACCCAGGAACAAACCATAGCACTCATAACCAGTAACAAACCATAGCACTAACAATAACAGTAATAATTATTAGTGTTAGAACTGAGACTAACAACAATAAATACTTATTGTGGGTGGTTGTCTTTGCAACCCATGGCAGAGATCTTTAGAAAATTACTCCCCACTCTTCTTAAGACTAAACTAATGGGTTCCATGTCCTGGGTTAGGAAAGACTCTCCTAGGGCAGATATTCCCCTCAATATAAAGTAAGGAGATTGGGGAAGGGATGAGGAAGAAATATTGGGTCCCAAAGCCCAATACCACTTACAACATGTCAGGGTGAGGAGAACTCTTCACCCAATCCTATTGATCCACGCTCCATTGATCCATTGTACCACAAAGCTCAAAGCCACCAATGCCGGTCAGGTTTTCATTCTCACTCAGAAAATCATAAGATCTGAAGACATAGGTTTGAATTCATATAGTTCATATAGCATATGGGTGCCTTTGAAATCAGTGTGAAAAGTTAGACGCCATGACTAACTTGGATTACATTGATTTCTTACTGAACAGTTAACTTAATCTGTAATTTAGGCATTGTTTTCAGAGGAAATCCATCTCAATGGAGGGATGAAGTTCAGGTATAGGAATAAGTGCCTTAATCTTTATCCCATCTTTAGACTGGTTTAAATAGGATAAGTTGTTATATCACAATGGCAGATATGTGCAAGTTCAGTTCAGAGAGTCTTTTTCAGCTTGGATTTCCCCCACAATGAAAATAACTTGAAAAATTACCTGAAAGTATAACATTGAAAGAGCACACAAAGGAACTTCATGTTGCCTCACTACTTGTGCATTTGACTACACTGTTAACCCTCCGTATGAAAAATTTGCACGTTGGCGCTTAGTTAAATATTTATAGATTACACAAGGATATGCTTGGGTGCATTTAATTTCTGATCTAGATAGAAGTTTTGCCGTTCAGTCCTAACCATGTCTCTTCAGAAGTAAAGTCTGTTTAATTCCATAGAAATTATTTCCAAGTAAGTGGGGTTGGGATTAGACTGCAATTCTTAACCCATTTACGTACGCGTAAACCCCATTAAACTCAGTGGAACTGTGTCTACAAGTGTGTAGATTTGCACCATTAGTAGTGCACTGGCTTACATTCTCCAGCCATCGGTTCAGCCAAGCTTTCTAGGTCTTCAACTTCTCCAAGCCACAACCCTTTACGCCAACAATGTGTTTTGAAGATAAAGAATTAATCCATGAAAATCGTGTCTATTTTTCTTTTTAAACAATCTCATCCATAAATACAAGTTTTGAACAGCCTGGTATCACAATTTAGAGCACTTACAAGTGGCTTTTGTGCTAGACAGACATCTGCTTTTCATCCGTTGAAGTGCAGCTGAAATTCTGATAACAAAGAGTAGAATCCTTTTCAAATGTAAAAGAGTGAAGATGTCGAGAAATGGCATTCTGCTGGCAGAATCCATGGCCTTTCTTTTATTTATTTTTTCCCTGGGTTTTCCCCTGCCAGAATGGGTTGTATTCATTGAACTATTATATTGTTTTCTATCTTCTATTTACAATGTTAAGGTGGGGGGGGGGAGCATTTTCCCACCATAGTACAATATAATGCTGTCAATCCATAGGCCCATCGTTTTTTCCTTGGTCAACTTGAAGTTGCCTCTTCTGAATAAATCACAAGAACATTAGGAAGGATTGCATATATTAGTTAGTTTTTCCTATAATTCACATAACTTTTTGAGATTTGGCAAACAATTTCATGAGACCGGGGCACTTGAGGATAAAAATCCCTTGAAGCCTTACTTGGTTGTAAGTTCTGTTGCAAACAGTGGGACTTGTATCTGTGAGATAACAGGTCCTAGGATTGTACTGCAACTTGTCTACAAGGGGCTTCCACTTAAATGAATGAAATATACTTCTAAGTAAATGAGTTTGCAGTCAGACTGTTTAACACATAGTTGGCCTACCTATCCAAATGCCATATCAAGTCTTAGGATTCCTGTGGTCTGTCCAATAGTTCCTTAGCCATTAGAAATGCCTGTGCTCCCATGAGTAGACATATCCTTCTGCATGAGGCAGAAAATAATATGCAGTCTTTCTACCTGATAGGGGAGATGCTTATGGGATAATGATGATAACTCTGAAATTGTCACAGCATATTCAATTTAAATATCAGTTCAACAGGATTCCTTTTACCAATGAATTTGTATATATATTTAATTGCAGCGGGTTTCGTGTAATAAATTTCCCTTTAGAAATGTAGATCCAGTAAGATTCGTCTTCATTACACTGAGCGTGTGTTGCCTTGGATATGAAAACCTATTTATAGAGTGAGTGAGAGAGACACTTCTTTTAATCCAGCTTTTTAAGATAGTTGTTCAGCCGTACAAAACACCCAGACTACTTTCCTAACTAGAATTGCAAGCTAGCAATCCACTGGGCTCGTAATGTTTCTCCAGCACAATGTATGGAGAACAGGTAGTCCTGTTTTTCTTGGGAAGCCTCAGCTGCCATTACCAGTAATATTTTGGGAGCCATGCATATGCTCCTGAGTTAAAGACTAAAACTCCCGTGAGCTTTGTTCATCAAACTTCTGGAGTAGTAGCATTAAAGAAAAAAAGAAAAAGCAGGGTTTGCATACATAGCAGCTTACTGTGGCTCACTACTTGTGTTTTTTCTGGTTGCCTTGAATGACCTTGAATATCTATTCACTGTTGTTTTTTCCTTATGGTTTGATTTTTATTTACTGCTTCTGAATCAGAAGTCGTTTCATGCAAAGTGAATTATCCCATGCCCAACAGAGTTGGTTTTCCCCAAACTTCATTTCTATGACTTCCTCACCCTTTCTTCATGGAAGTTCTTCTTCGTCTCCATTTGCATAGCTGTCCTTATCAGAGATGATGCACCAGGACTGGATAAACTAGACCGAGATTTGTATAATGTGCTTGGCTGCACAAAAGAAGACAGCAACTAACGAAATAACCGTGTGCATGTACACAGGCATCAGTTTGGACATTTTAGTGGAAGAATAAATGGACGGAGGCAGAAGCAAGTCTCAACCACCAGACTTGAGCAACTGAGGAGCAAAGAAAGATTTCAGCCTTGTGTATTTTACAACCAAAATATAACCCCACACTTCTCTTTATCATAAAAAAACTGAGAAATATTCAAATTTAATTTAGTGTGGGGATCTTGCACACAAATATATGTCCATGTTCCTGCAAATGGACTCTGGTTGCCTGGTAATTGGATACAGATAGTGCTGTATCAAGGCTTAATAATGTATTTAAAATACAAAGTACAGAAATAAAAATTCTTTCCTTTTTTTCTATTCCAGGTTCTCTGGGAGATGCTAACAAGGGAGGTCCCCTTTAAAGGCTTGGAAGGATTACAAGTAGCTTGGCTTGTAGTGGAAAAAAACGAGGTAAGACTACGTTTCTACATTCAGGTACATAGATCAGAAAACAGTGTTGGGTTTTGCAAAAGACTTTTTCATCTTCTTCAAATTGAAAGTAAGTTCACGCGTATGGAAAGATTAGCAGTAGGAGCTAACACAAAGGGTCAAAGTGATGTTATTCCTCATGAATGGACCCTTTACATCTAATTGTTGCAGCTTCACATCGTGATGCTGTAGATCAAAAATTGTACAAGTACTGTACTAGTTTCTCAGTCTCAATTGTAAAACCTAGGGGTTTGTTCTTAGTGATGAAAGAAGCCATTGCGTCCAAGGTAGGGGAACAGTTTAACTCCATCTCCTGCGTTTAGGACATCTTTATACTGGCCGGGAGTTGATATATCTGTAAGAGACCTTCAGCTACTTCAACTTAACTCTCCCAGCAGGAGTCACTATAGTACAAGAAACTGCCACTTAGATGAGGATTTCAAAAATAAAAGAAGAAAAAATAGTTTAAAAAAGAGGGAAATTACAGTTTTGCCACCTACGTTCTCGGCTACATTGAAGATGAGATCCTCACTGGTACTGGTAAGGCTCTGCCATAGTTGCAAGCTTCCTCATGCGGTGTCTTTCCATTTCAAAAGAACTTCAGTGGCGTAAACACCCTTTGTACAGGGTCCCCAGCGTTGCTTTTCTTCTTCCTACAAATTGAGGCTTTCAGGTAGTTGAACATGTGAGCGTTTATTTGAACGCATGGCTCCTTGATGTCAAAGACACGAAGTACCGGTTTTTCTTTCTTTCCCCCCACTAAAGGGGAAAAAAATTAAAGTTGTGGCTGTGTCACACACCAAGTATGGAAATCCTCTATCTAGGCAGACTGGAAGGTTGTGGGTACGTTACTTAATAAAAAGCTACTTGGCTAAAAAGCGACAGCTCGGCTTCTTGAATTCTTTTATATATATAGCTGGCTTCCCCAATGGTTTTAGACTCTTTAAAGTGTTATTAGGGGGGAAAATATTCCTAGAAATACAGGTGGGGGTGAATTAATGTTTAAACCACCTTCTGCCTTTTAAAAGTTGTTATTGAATGTTAGGTTGGCTGTCCTGTCCGGGAATCCAACTTAGTTGGGAATCTTTCCTTAATTCAGAACAACCTTATGCTTGTAACTTCCTCCAGTATAAGTTTAGAATAATAAGGTGTAATCTGTATCTGTTCCATTTCTAAGCGTGAAGAAAAGCTTATTGGTTCAGCACAATATTTCTTCCCTTGGGGACGAGGCGATCGAGACACAAATTGCCTCCATATACACCAGTGCTTTGGTTTCATAGTTGGATACGGGAATCTGGTATATAAGATGTATAGTGTATGCCATGTTGACCGCTTAGATCGTTGCTCTGCTTAGTATGGACATGATCCAGCCAAAATTAGGCACTTTAAAAACCTCATTGGTTCCAGTGCTCAACGTTCTCTCTGTTGAAATAAATGGAACATAGAACTATTGAACTTTATCTAGATTGACTATTCAGTCTGAAGTTTACGTAGAAGAGGGAATGTAAGGGAATAATGTTAAATATATGAGTGCTGACTTTGATTTTAATGGAAAGCAAGGCCTGCCAATTTCTTCAGTGGACTGGAAATGATGAATAAAAACCTCTAATGGTCATTGAGGCGATATGTAATTTTTAGTGTCCAGACAATAGAGCAAAAGTTATGGTGCCCATGTTTTTGAATAGAACACTACAGTGACGTTTGGAAACTAATGTCACTGGGTAAGATTACCGTACTGATTCTGTTTTTGTTTTCTGTTTGTTTTTTTAAAAATATGATGTCAAATTGTTGCCTGCTTATTAAAGCTGTGAAATATTTGTGTTTCTTTCTAACGTTTTAAAAAATCCTAATAAATCGGTTAAGTGCTGTATGGTGTTTCTATGCAGACAGAATCACATGACAGTAGAGACTTTTGTCGACATAAAGTGGGAGAGAGGAGAAGGAGAGAGGTGGTTTTTGCCAATTTCCACCCTCACTCTATGCCCTCTAGATCTGCTCCAGAGGGTTGGGGGACCCTCAGAACAGCATAGAAGGTAGTGGGGGGGGGCTGCATAGGAGAGGCAAACGTTTGCTGATAGAAGTCCCTGCTGGACAGAATTGGATCAGCTCTGTATGTCTCGAATGTCCCATCTGTACTATACACAAATCAGTATCATACCCTAAAGAATCCTGGGCACTGTTAGTTTGTTAAGGATGCTGTGAATTGTTAGGGGACCCCTGTCCCTCTCCGAGAACTACGCTTCCCAGAATGGTTACCAGTTAATCTCTACAGTGTGGTGTAGTGGTTAAGAGCGGTAGTCTCGTAATCTGGGGAACCAGGTTCGCGTCTCTGCTCCTCCACATGCAGCTGCTGGGTGACCTTGGGCCAGTCACACTTCTCTGAAGTCTCTCAGCCCCACTCTCCTCACGGAGTGTTTGTTGTGGGGGAGGAAGGGAAAGGAGAATGTTAGCCACTTTGAGACTCCTTAAAGGAAGTGAAAGGCGGGATATCAAATCCAAACTCTTCTTCTTCTTCTTCTTACCAGGAAACTCTGGGAATTGTAGCTCTGTGAAGGGAATAGGGGTCCCCTAACAACTCACGGAAGTCTTAACAACTAACCTTTCCCAGGATTCCTTGGGGAAAGCCACAACTGTTTATAAAGTGGTATGGTACTGCTGTAAATACATAATTTAGATGGGCCCTGAGTTCCAAGTTCCCTCTCAGCCGTCAGTCTGCAAACTATGTTTGTTGCCCTTTTAAAGCACATGTAACACAATTTAAAAGTTCATTACGTCCTCCAGAGAACTGTAGTTAAAGGGTGCTGGGAATTGTAGCTCTCTGAGGAGTTAACCTACAGTTCCCAATGTTCTTTGTGGAAAGCAGATTGCTTTGGATTTGCTTTGTGACCTAAAGTTTTCGCTATGGTGAGAGAACAACTAAACCTCACTTTTGTCCCAGGCAGAATTCCTCTCTTGTTATAGTTAGAGCAGATTACAACCCTTAGAATGGTTGATTGTGGAAGTACACTGTTTATTAACTGTCAGGGGTCCTTTACCTTTAACGAGTAATAATTAAGACTTTCAGACTCATCTATCCTGTAGGTTACGAAAAGAATGCTGAAGAATTTGCATCCTTCCTCAATTTAGAATGTGTTTAGACCAGCACACATTTTATCCTCACAACCCTGTGACATAGATTAGGCTGAGAAATGGCAATTTGCCCAGTTCCACCACGTGAGATTCCTAGCTGGGATCTGAACCCATATTTCCATAATCCAGGTCCAGTACTCTGTTCATTAAACCATACCGACTCTTAAGTGAAATATCAGTTCTTTAAATGACTTCTTCCTCATTCCACTAGAGTTTTTCTTGGTACTTACATGTTTTAAACTCCAAAACACAATCCTAATATAAAAGTTCATATTAGAGATGTCATTATCTAACATCAAATTACTACTTAGAAATGTCACTTTTATTAGAGTATGACACTCTTTGGGACCTGCTACCTATATATTACCTGACAAATAACATTCTACTCAAGTAAGATGGATGCAAGTGATGATTACATGTCTTTTAGTAACTCATTTTCCAACTCCTAGAACAGTGAGGGTTACAGACAAATGCCATTGCTAGACTATCAGTTGTATTTTTAGGCAAATGACTTGACTGAGGATCAAGTGTCATTGCTACTTTGTTTATGCCAAGTAGACTTCTTGAACATACTTTTGGTATAAAAGTTTTTCACATTTATTGTACTCATTATTTAATGATTGCATATTTGATTAGCACTTGCTATGTATATTTTATGGGGGTTTTTTACCCCCCCCCATGGCATTCTTTCCTGAGTTTGCATTTCATTCTTGCTTTTAACACACAGCCGTTCATAAATTCTTGCAGGTCCCATTACACTTATATAGATATCTGTTTTGTTTAGCTTACTTGACAAAGTGGCGTGCAGGTCATGGCAACCTTAGGGAGCAACGTGAGTGGACAGAAGTTCAGATTTGATTGCTTTGTATAATTGGGTCAATTGTGTTAATCAATAGAATCTTTCTCAATGAAAAGGTTGGTTTTTTAGATAGCTAATTGCATTACTGAAAGTGTGTAGACGCATTCTTATATGTTGATCACAGCATGAAGATATCAGGTTTTTGTGCTTGTACACAAATCTGCTTTTGGCACTGCGTCTGCCTTCTGTCGCTAGGTTACTAATTGTTCACGTTGGCAGTAAGTATTTCAATCTTATGTCAATATTTGCAATATGAGAGTTTTCTTCCCACTCTTGAATAATGTTGTTATTTAAGGTCTTTGAGTATTTACATGTTAGTTATTCTTGCAACACTTAATTAGGCTTCTTGTATGGCTTCATCAGTTCATCAATAAATGTATGATGAAGGGTGACTTTAGCATTCTTACCCTACTAAATCTAAGGCCATGTACAGTTGTTTCTCTGAAGCATCAAAAATGACTTAACCCTTCCTTCTGCCATGGCATTAACCCTGCAGTAGTTTAACCACTCAAAAGTTCCATTTACTAGAAAAAATGGAGCATATATTCACACAGGAAAATTGTGCTTAAGTATATTTGCTTCAGTTTTCTAATAAGCAACTGTAACATCTTCCTTTAGTCCAATGATGAACTAATGATGAGGTTGACTAGATGTGGGTTCAGGCCTTTCTTCAATTTCACTTTTAAGAGAATCTTAGCACTTATTTTGGCCAGAGACCATAGTAGGATACCCAGCTAAGGAAAGTGTGTTATCATGACAGCTCTACAATATCTACACGGTACCTCTGCAAAGCCCAACAATACTAATAACTGAATAAACCAGTTCTAAAACTCTTCTGATTTCACTCCTCTGTGTTTGGTTCATCTTGCCTTTCTTGATCCTGGTAGTTTTCATCTACTAGAACGTTTGTTCAGAAGTTAGATTCTTATGCAACTCGGATTATTCATGGTTAACTGGGAGTGATAGTGGATTGCTCCAGTTAAGTAGGAACTTTGTTAGAAGACTGCTTAGCACAATCTAGCACTTTAGTTCAAAATAGCTAATGGACGCCAGTAAATATTAGTACACATACAAAACAGCTGATGAGAACTAATGTGAGATACTTGAACATGCACTGCCCAAGGAAGGATTAATTGGAATAAGAACAATAAATAATATCTACTGCGTTTGATGTTTATGGTCTGTAGTTCAAATAAACTGAGCTTGTGCGTGGGAAGAATACTATCTCAAATATATGAAGGGATGCAGAATTGGGAAAACCTTGGGAAATACATATACAGAGCTATATACAGTCATAATAAGAACCTGTGGACTTGTGCTTGAAATTAAAAATATTAGAGGAATAAAATTATGGGATAGTTTCCCTAGTACAGTTTTGAAGAGCCTGGTTTCCAGGCAGGAGGATAGTATATTAATGAAGACTATAGACTGAGGAATGGAATTATTGTAAGATCTTAGGGCTTTTCTCCTTTTCCAGAGATAGTATGCTGGATAAGGTTTGCTTCATACTCACTCAGAATTGAGAAGAGATTCAGAAGTTTCATATCTATTTATAAAACAACATATTCTTGCTGCGTGAGTGTAAGAAACTCTCTAAGTTACATTAAGAGTGTGGTTGCTTCCAAGGAGGAAACCTCTAGAATGGTTAGAATTGGTCTGGGTGGCACATAATAGATGACCTATCTCAAACCATGAATTGTAAAATTCAGTGGTAAAGGATCCATCATTCTTGGTGCTAGAAGATCATCTCTCTTTGAAATGGCACAGAGACAGCTTGATTTGTCTCCAAACAAAAACAATCTGTTCTACAGGGCTTTTGCCTATTCCAGTGCTTGCTAATTCCTGTACTTTGTGGTATAGTTTCTTTCTTTCTTTTACTGAGAACATTGGAAGATCTGCTTTCATATGGGAGCTGGGGTTTATCTTCTGCTGTACATTTCTAGTCCCTTGGTTATCCAACTGTTGTCTTGCTTCTATTACAGAGACTGACCATTCCCAGCAGCTGCCCTGGAAGCTTTGCAGAATTGATGCTCCAGTGTTGGGAAGCAGATCCAAAGGTATTTATTTACTGTTATCCACTGTGTGTTTTAACTGTGCTGTGTTTTTTAAAAAAACCAAAACAAAACCCCAAAACCCTCCTGTTGCAGATGGGACACTAAATGTGAGATAAGAATTTTCCATTTGCATTATTCCATTTCATTTCCACATACCACCCACCCTCTCTGTTGACACTGGATAAGTTTAAGGGAGCCAGGATTTCAGGTACAGAGCCTGCAATCCTATATGCACTTACCTGGGAGTAAGTCCCACTGAACTCATGTAATGGATTGCCCTGTGAATTATTTGGGTAAGCGTATATTATCATCGGATTTAAGCAATGAACAAAACTTCATAAATACAATAATAATTATAAAACTATAACAAACTCCTTTTTTGTATCAATCATATATTTATTATAAATTTTGTTAGCAGATGTTCTATTTTCTTTTACCTTATAAACTGTTGAATTCAGGCACTGCAGAGGCCTGGAACCCACCGGTTCTTTAAATTTCACCCTTGAAAAGTCTTGATAAATGTTACCTCAAAAATCTTCCCCTATATTGAATAGCCCATGCCCCTTAAACATGCCCACATTTCATTGGGTGTCAGGATTGAACTCCCACCCTCCCTCCCTCCCTTCCATTCTGAATAGAGGAAAGAGTTTATTTTTACGAGCAATCATAGTGTTGCCTGATATAGGTGTCTTTTTCACGTTGTTGAAGATGCCTAATGGGGAAGGAGCGTGCCCACACAATTTGGGTTCCTGTCCCCTTTTCTGCTCATTTAGGTGTGGTGGCCAATTTGTGTTCAGCAGTCATTTTCTGTTACACCACATCCTACAGAGAGACATTCTGTATTATGTTGCACACCCCGTGGCAGCCATTTTGTGACAGGTGCCCATTGAACTTCCTCAAAATTCCAAATGTTCCCACTGGCCTAAAAAGTTTGGCAGGCCCTGAAGCAGACTGACCTTCTTCATATGGCCCAAAGCATTTCTCAACAATACCATAACAACAGTGAGCACAGTGATCTACTTTACATCTCCCCTCACCATGACCACGACCACGACCACAACCACCAACTCCTTTTCAGGGTCCCAGAATTTATTTACCTTATATTGCTAATAGTAATTTGATACAATATTTCCCTACTAGATGAGTAATTTCAAATCTTGCTTAAATGCTTAACTTTACACTTAATTCATATATATTTTTGGTGATCACTAAAGAGATATCCACTTGATTTCTGGCTTATCCCGTGATAACTATTTTTACCCTTGAGGATTTACCATTCAGGGTGGAGACATTCGACCCACATTTTAAAGCAAGCCAACCTAATTCAACCGTTCTAGACACAACTCAGCTATCTATTAGATCACACGCTTCTCCAAGTTTTGCAAAAGCAGTTTTCTTTCCAAAAATATGTCTACAGTGTTATAGAACAAAAATGCGTTTTTGGGTGGGGCATGGGAAATGCATACAATTTTACATGCCAATTTTTGCGTTGCTTAAAAAAAAGAATGCATAAAACATTGAATGCATCATTGAATGCATGTGACACTAACGCAGAACAGAAATAGTCCGTCCTGATGTACATTGTTCCAAATCTAAACTGGGATTGAATGATGTACTTTGAACCAGCGGATGCCATGGTTGGTGCAAAGGAATCGAGTCTTTCCTCCATGCCCTCATTCACATTTATTGCTGTGAGGCTGTAGCCACTCATTACCCATGTGGGAACCACAGGGAGGCATGAACTACTGAAGCAAGCCATTAGGACTCTACATTAGGAATCAATTATGGAATTATATCAACAGGTGGAAATCATATACTGCCAAGAATGCACCTGCTGCCATTGCTATCCTTCTGCTCCAAGCTGATTAACTGTAAACTATACAGTAGGGTCCTAAAAATGCGGGTTTTACAGGAGTAGTTGAGGGAAATAGCTGTGTGTGAACATGCAGAATAGACGTGGGATGAGGTGAGGGGAACGGCAACCGCTGAGCTCTAAGCAGTTGTCTTACAATTGTGTGCAAGATGGACCAGAAATGACAGACAAAGAGATCCCTTCACCTAAACGTTGAATAGGCAGCTCTTGCATAGAAGAGCACTTGTCTCTTTTTGTTATACATTTGACATTTTTTTAATGTTGTTTGACATTTGAAATAAAGAAATTGTCTCTCTTTTATAATGCGAAAATCACTTGGATCTGCCTGGGAGAGACACCTCAGCATTGTTCCTAATTGTTTTTGTGCACTCGAATTAAAATGCACGTTTTAATTGCTGCATCTGTAATTTTAGCAGAAATGGTATAATTACAGGCGTGATGCAGAGAGAATGTGTATCATCCGTTTATTATGTATCCACATTTTGGTTTCAACCTTTTGTCTCAACCTTGTCTGGGGTCTGTCAGACAGACTAACGGAGGCGATGCTCTCTCTCTCGAGAAACATTTTAACTCTGACTTTTTCAGTTTTCAACAATTACCCCACTTTTTTTCAGCATAACAAAGGAAGCAATGAAGGCGGAAGAAAATGCAAAGAACTTATGACTCCTTTGCCTGAGACAGTATTTTTTTCTTTTTAAACTTGAAATAATCAGGTCATCCTTGGTTATGTGGAGCACATTTTCCCCTTCTCTGTTTCTGGACTGCATTCTGACCCAATCTGCCTTGTAACCACAGTGCTAGAATTGGCACAGGGAGGCAAGGATGTTAAAAAGTTGTATAAATTTGCATACTCAACCAAAAAAACCTCTTGCGTACTACTATTTTATGATTTTCAAGGACCTGATTTGACGATGTGGACAACAAATGTTCTGTTTACCTATGCAAAACTGAAATATTATAAATAACTCCACGTCCTTTTTGGTAACTTCTGTGTAAAGTGAATCCTGTGTGCTTTTACAGAACAAAGGCTTCACACCACAAGAAAGAAAAACACAACTGTATTCTGCATTTGTGTGGCTAACTTTCACAATGAAATGTCACTGTCATGCCTCATGAGGGCACACAAAACTTTTCCAAGTCTTGTCTGCTACTTTATTGTGCTGGGCCTCAGTGTTCTCACACGCTAGGAAGGTTTTCTTTATTTCTTGTAGATTAGTTTGTTCTTGTAATTGTATTGTGAAAACTTCAATTAAAATAAAAAATCCCCATTACTATTTTAAATGTCACTTCAACAAACAAGCAGTCTCTTGATGTGTTAAACATTTTTGGTACTTATTTTTGATGCTTTCCCTCAGTTTTCATCCATATTCTTGTTCTAGGCCCTGAAATAAAGCCGTAATTACAAGTAGCATGCTACTTTGGTACTTATTTTTGATACTTTCCCTCAGTTTTCATCCATATTCTTGTTCTAGGCCCTGAAACAAAGACGTAATTACAAGTAGCGTGCTACTTTGGTACTTATTTTTGATAATTTCCCTCAGTTTCCATCCATATTCTTGTTCTAGGCCCTGAAATAAAGACGTAATTACAAGTAGTGTGCTTGCTTTTGATTAATCAGAATGGCCTCATGCTGAAGCAAATGTATGAGCTTTGTAAAACATGATTTTTTTATTTTAGGCCACAAATACAATCGATATTTATGTCCCACTTTTTGACTGAACATGCCCAGAGTATATTCATAAAAACCATACAACAGCGTCATAAAGATATAAGTGCAACTTACCAAAAGCAGTAACAGCAAACGCAAAATAACACTTTAAAGAAAACAAAAGCAAGGGTAAAAGATCATACACATAAAACTGGCAGCAATAAAACTAGGAGTTACATGCAAAAAGCCTGTTGAAATAAGTGTTTTCAAATACGTATGGCAAAAGAGAATTGGCAGAGAGAGAGATTGATTGGTTTTGAATAGAAGAACATTTCAGAGTTGCAACCCTGTCTTTCTAAAGGCTCTCTCATGCTCAATCACTGAATATCCCAAGTTGGACCAAAAGTGCGTTTCTGGGTAGGCCTATATGGGAAGAAGCAGTCCCTAAACCATTTAGGGCTTTAAAGGTTAGAACCAGCACTATTGAACTGAGCCTTGAAGTGAATAGGAAGCCAGTGTTTGCATACAATGCTTGTGAGGCATACAAGGTTAGTGTTTGTAAAACTGATATTTAAAGTCTTCTTTTTTCTAAAAAAAACCAATCTGGACTTATTTTCCTTACTTTATCTCAAGAACGTGGGTTCCTGCCATACAAGTGTATAATCTGTAGTATGAAGCCTTCCTATAGGGCTGCAGTATCATTTTACATACATTGATTGCCACATGGCCATTATGGGAAGGTGTTTCAAATGCAGCATAAGGCAAATATCTATCTATCTATTTATATATCATCTTTCTTATACACCACCCTATACCTGGAGGTCTCAGGGCGGTTCACAACAAGACCACAACATATAAAATCAAACCAAAAGCAACAACCCACAAGAACATCTTTGAAGACTGGGAAATGGCAAATTCTGACCTTCTTCCGACATTTATTTGCACTTATGTGCTGTATCCATGGTTAGTGTGATGGGATGCTGAGCTGCTTGTGCGTAAAATCGTAGTCCCTCAGAGTTTGTTCAAGCCCACAAACTTCTGTCTGTGACAGAGCCCCTCAGACATGACTGCTCTAGTCACTTGCAGATTCCGACAGTGGTTGCTTTCGGAATCGTTTCCAGCATAAAAGCTCCTTAACGGAAACACGTCTTCTGGACTCACGGCGTGACAGTTTCCGGCGAGGAGTGGGTCTCCCTATGGGAGCTTCAGATACCTCCCCACTGTTCTCGCTGGACGTGTCCCTGAGCCCTCCCTCCTGCTCGCTTTCCCTCAGAGATCCACCTCTCCCTCTGCTGGTTCCTGCTTCAGCTGCTGAGTCTCTCCCAGCCTGCGTGAGCCCTTCCACCACCGGTTCCTCCGATGGCAGTTCCCTGACAGTTAGGATTTCAAACCTTCAAGAAGCAGAAGAGACCTTAAAATCTGCAAATGCTTCTCCTCACCAAAGCCGGACTCCCTTTGAACCAGCCTTTTCATATGAATTAATAGAATTAGAATTAAACATGGTGTGCTGTAAGCAGAAATTTCGATCTTGTCAGAGGTGCCACTGAGGGAAGGGAAGGAACATTGGTCTCCATATTAGTTTCATTGGAAAAGTTGTCATCCTATTATCTGTGCCTGAGAAAAAATTCAAAAATAGGTTTAGGAGTCATTAGTTACCATAGCATTGCACATGAATAATAAAATTATATCTAAAAATAGAAGGTACATGCAGGACTTTTGCTCTTCTACAATTTTGAGACACTTCTTTTTGCATGTGTAAAAACAAACAAACACCACCAGTTACATTTTATAGATTTTTTCCCCTCCTTGAATTGCATATACATAATAATTATCTAGTCACCAATATGTGTTGCACTTGCAGCTTTCCTGGGAGAATTCCATTGTTAATGTGGTCCTAGAATGTATTTTCATCATATCTATAATATATGTACTTTTCAGAAAAGACCGTCTTTCAAGCAGATCATTTCAATCTTGGACTCTATGTCAAATGATAGCAACCTCCCAGACCAATGCAACTCATTCCTGCATAACAAGGCAGAGTGGCGGTGAGTCTAATGAATGTGAGATTGTGACAGGGGGTGGGATTAAAATGTTTTATGGAAGGCTAGAGATCCCAGTTGTCTGAATTCATGGCTTTTCTGACCTGAGTTCATTGGCTGAATATGAAAGGAGTTTGACTCCACAAACGTTCACTCCTGAACAATTGCCTCCTGAGGCAAGGACTTAATTTTGCAAACCCATCACAAATGGGTTCCAGGCAACAGTTTGTTTTTCCAAAGTAATTTTCCTTAGAAAACAGTAAAACCAGATTAAATGGGTGGATTGGCTTTTTGATCTCCACAGCATTCACACAATGCTGTGAACATGCATGCATGCATGAAGAGCACAGATCCCACAATAAACACTTGTCTGAAAGCCCCTGAGTACAAACTTCATATGTGGTGCATTTAAATGACAAAAAGTTATTCCAGTTGCTTGAGTTCAAGTTGAGAAACCTTGTTTGATTTGCATTCATCAGAAGTTGTTGTTTCTATTTATTTTTAACAATAAGTTGTTTCTAACTGGGGGCTTTTTTCACAGTGGCACTGTTAGTCCACGAAACCTAAGAGTTGAGCCAGAATTTTGCACAGAGATAGGCATGCTAATGAACTCTGCGTTGGACGTGGCCTTGGCGCATCCAATACAAAACACTCAACGAGACCAACTACAACTAAGGACGCGTCTCCACTTCTGCTCGTCCCGTGCCATAAAAGCTGGGGTTTGAGCTGTTTTCTGCTTGTTCCACCGCTTTCTCACAGAGAGCCCGCTCTCTAGTGCTAAATTGAAACAAACGGCACTCCATAGAAAACCCAATTGTCGTTTGTTCCGATTCAGTGCTAAAGATCGGGGAAAGTGGGGCGGCCTAACAGAGGTTTGTGATGCCAGCACACCATCACAAATGCAATGCAGTTCAACAGTATGGCAGTCACTCTTGCTGGCAACATAAATGTTTAGAATGGGGAAGTCAGTAGACCTACATTCTACCACTAAACTGTTTCATCGTTGATATTAGATTTGGTCTTGCTCTTGTCTTTATTGTCGTGATACTACTTGGTCTGCCCCCCAAAAAAGTGTTTTTGACATTCTAAGGTCCTTACCCTTAAACACAACTTATTTAAATTTATTATTTTATTTATTTAAATAATTCATATAGCGCTTAACTTCAGTCATCTCTAAGCAGTGTACAAGACTTAAGTGATTCCTGTTCTTTTCTGCGCAATACAGATTGTGACATCACCACCTAATAATTACAAAATAATCAGGGTTGGAGGATGGGCTGATTATATTCAGAAGAGTAAGCAAGATGTTAATGTGCATCAAATTCACAGTTCAGCACTTTTTAAGGTCCATTGTACTTACTAATGAGGGCTGTACTTTTTTTGGTGGGGCAGGAGATGGTGTGTAAAATTAAACACTAAACATTAAAATTTATGGCCATATGAGAAAGGCCTCTGTCTCCATAAAGAGGGCTAGGAATAGCAAACGGCAGAGTTCTAAACTTCTGATGCAATGGAATTGAAACTAAATTGAACTAAGTTCAGAAGCAGAAATTTATTGCCCAGTGCAACATTTTTTTATCTCAGATTTGGACATTTTTCATGCACGCTTTTCCAGCACTCTTTCATTTTTCACTGTTCTTCTTGAAAGGTCACCACTGAGAATAAGCAGACGAATTTGGTTGGTTTATCAAGCACCTGATGGGCTATGATGTTTGACTTGACTTGACTCTCAGTAAACCCAGCATGCTTCTTGTTTCTGCCGTGGTTCCATGGATCTCGGTGCAAGTGACGACTGAGCTCAAACTCATTGACACTTTCCGCTTTGGGTCCAGCATTAACGGCATTCATAGGTGCTAAAAGTCTCCCTCGCTGCATGGTTCTCAGCACGTTTTCTCAGAAGCCCTGCTGTGTTCGGTGGTATTTTTATGGGAGTGAGTGTGCACAAGGCAGCCTCTGTGTACCTTTTGAGAACGTTGTTATATCCGTCTTACAGATAAAACATTAAAGCAGGTCTGCTTAGTGTGCTTTGAAGGCCTTTTGAACCGAGAGCTGTGCAAGCAGAAGGATTGTAACCCAGGGATCTTTGCAGGAGTCTAAATTAAGAACCTTTGGCCGTTCTCCAGATTAATGCGGAGCACAATTTAATAACGTACTAAATTGTTATGGGCCCGCCTCTCTCTAAAAGAGAGAGAGAGCAGAGAAAAATAAACGGGAATTGTATAGAGTGGTTTAAAGATGTAAAGGGTTTTTTTAAAAAAAATAAAAGATTTATAGAAACAGGGTGTATCAAAACAAAACATCCTAAACTCAAGAGAACTTTAGAAGTGGACTGATAACAAGAGAATTTTATTGCATGGGTGGAAAAAGTGAGCACAAGATCGGAAGTTTGAGCCAAGTCACATGGTCAGAATATAAATAGCCTCTTTCAGAACAGACATTATTCTCCCACTGAATCAGCAGAGCACGGCAGTAACCAGCATTTGGGGAGAGTTAGAATGCTTTGCGCCATCTTCTGTTGAAAAACGGAAACTGCTTCACATAACTTTGGATCACACTCAAAGCTTCCTACGAAACATACTTTTCAGCCTAATCCCAAACATGCTCACTTGGAAGTACCAATTCCCGCCGATTTCAGCGGCACTTACTACTTAAGAAATGCGCTTTGCATTTTCAGCCTTTTGAGTTCCATTCATATTTAGCTTTTCAAGATGAAGCAATGCATCCTGCGCTCCTCTTTCCTGTGGCATAAACAGGGAAATATTTGCAAGTAGCCAGAAGTGCATTATCAGCACACATCTGAATGCAAAAGCATGCAAATAGCACGTATAGGTTTCAAAAACTTAGCAAATGCTGTTAAAGCAGCAGAACTGATTCGAAGCATTGGAAGACGTAGTTTTCACTGCATGCTGGACTTCTGGAATATGCAGAAATGACTAGTTGAGATGGGGGGGGGGAAGCATCTTAGGTTTTGGTAGGTGAGGCAAGCTAGTCTCGTTTTGCTACACGTAATTACTGTTTTTCTGCTGTCAGATGTGCAGGATCCAGCCAATGTACCAGGTTCCATAGTTGCTGAAGTGTCCTTATGATGTATCTGAATTGCTTGTAGATGCTGCTGCTCTACCTAGGCCCAGTTCACATGTAATACTAAACCCAAACTAGCCTGGCGACAGCAAGCAGGCTGCTTCATTTCCTCCCTTGCTTCTGCTGCTGTTTCACTATGGTTTGGCATAGTAAAAGGTAAAAAGGTAAAGGACCCCTGGGCGATTGAGTACAGTCAAAGGTGACTATGGGGTTGCAGCGCTCATCTCGCTTTCAGGCCGAGGGAGCCAGCGTTTGTCCACAGACAGCTTTCCGGGTCATGTGGCCAGCATGACTAAATCGCTTCTGGTGCAACAGGACACTGTGATGGAAGCCAGAGCACACGGAAACACTGTTTACCTTCCCACCCCAGTGGTACCTATTTATCTACTTGGACTGGCATGCAGGAGTTGGCAGGAGCTGGGACAGAGCAACGGGAGCTCACCCCGCCGCAGGGATTTGAACTGCTAACCTTCTGAATGGCAAGCCCAAGAGGCTCATTGGTTTAGACCACAGCGCCACCTGCATCCTTTACCTTTACCTTCAACCATATACTCATGGTGGTTTACAAAAAGAATAAAACAAACTAATTCATTTGCCATTTTACAACAACAACCACAACAGCCATGGTTATTTAGACCACAGCAACAGCTTTACTTTACCTTTGGCATAGTGTTACATGCCAAACCATAGGGCAGCAAACCTCTTGTGGCTTGTTTGGCAGAGACAAACCTTGTGCCTAGGTTTGCACTTTGCCAAACTGTGCCTTCACTTGCAATCAGTGTAGCGGCAGGAAGACTGGAGGACAAGTGAAGCAGTCATGTGTTGTTTTTTTCTGTGGGTTCCCATGTTCTTGTTTCTTCTGCCTAAGACATGGTTTCACTTAATGTCCCATGCAAACAAGGCTCAAGTCTTCTATGGCAATTCATGCTGTCACAGAGACAGCCGCTTATGCCACAGTGCCAACACAATATTCTAGATATGTAAAAAAAAACAGCTGTTCTTTTGAAATGGTAGTTTGTGGTTTCTAACCATTGGGTCTCAGGGATATTGAAAGGCAATATGATCTTTATAAGCATACTGTATAAATAATGTCAAGAACCAGAACCAAATTGCAAAGTTTTCCCCTTGTTATTGTTGGTTGAAAAAAAAGCAAATGCTATCAAAATGGCATTGTGTAAAAGAATATTCGTGTGGTTTTTCACTTTTATTTCAATTTTTATCCAAAGTCTCACTAAGAAATGTGGGGCAGCTTCCAGATACATGAACATATTTAATATTTATAAGTTTGCTTTGAGCCATTTTTTAAATAAATAAAGCAAAATAATAATAATAATAATAATAATAATAATAATAATAATAATAATAATAATAATACGCAAAACATTAATAGCAAAAAAACCAACAGTTCATGGATTTTTAAAATATACAAAAGCACAGTTCCCAATTATAAGTATATAAAAGCACAGTGTCCCTGGTTATCAGATGCCTGTTAAAGTAGAAAGAAAGCTCATAATATTTTTAAGGATTTTTGCTTTTATTTGAGATATTGCTGATACGTTTGCCAGAGCACAATATAAAAGTACAGTATCAAGTAAACAGATTTCCACCTTTAGCCTACATAAAAATGCAATAGTGGAGTGATCTGAGTTGTGGGGAAACAAGCCACATTAATCTGCAAGAACCACTGAAATAAACAGAATACACATTCTCAGTAATGTTAGATGCAGATCGCTAAACTTGTGGAGTAACAGACTCATTAACTGGGCAATGTACAGGGGCCTTCCATTTAATTACACTGTTCTATTATTATGCTTTTTCTTTCTTTTTTAGAATGCAGCTGTTTCCCCCCCCGAGTCTGACCTTTTATTATACAGAAGTTTTTGCCTAATGAAGGGAGATAATTATAGTACATACACAGTATGATTTTGACATATGGAAAGCGGTTGTTTCCAAGACTTTCCTAGGCCAGTGATTTACTTAAAACTGGATAGCATCTTCATAAAGTTTTAAAATGGATAGATGCACGCATTTAAGCGATACAAATAAAGATAACTTGTGTTCTTCTTTTGTACTCTGCAACTGATAACGGGGTTTATATTGTTTATTTTACAGGGTTGTTGTTGTAAAATGGCAAAGGAATTAGTTTGTTTTATTAATTGTTTTATTCTTTTTGTAAACCACCATGAGTATATGACTGAAGGTAAAGATAAAGGACGCAGGTGGCGCTGTGGTCTAAACCAATGAGTCTCTTGGGCTTGCCAATAGGAAGGTCAGCAGTTCGAATCCCTGCGACAGGGTGAGCTCCCGTTGCTCTGTCCCAGATCCTGCCAACCTAGCAGTTCGAAAGCACGCCAGTTCAAGTAGATAAATCAGTACCACTGCGGTGGGAAGGTAAACAGTGTTTCCATGCGCTCTGGTTTCCGTCACAGTGTTCTGTTGAGCCCAAAGCGGTTTAGTCATGCTGGCCACATGACCCAGAAAGCTGACTGTGGACAAACGCCAGCTCCCTCAGATGAGCGCCGCAACCCCATAGTCACCTTTGACTGGACTTAACTATCCAGGGATCCTTTACCTTTTACCTTTACCTATATGACTGAGTGCTAATGTGTGTGTACATGTATATATATACTGCACAGTATATTCCTGAAGAGAATGAAGTGTCTTCATTAATTCAAGATGCATTTACACTTCTTCAGCTTATATTCTGGTCCACAATGACCTGCCCCATGTTTCCATCAAGTTTGACCCTTCCATCTATATTCTGTTGCCTTGCAGTGCAGCACCTGCCAATTTAGGACTTAATTAGGTCTCCTCTTCTGCATAATGTCTTGCGCCGATTAAGACGTGCAGGATGACATCATTATGCTACCTATTGCCCCATCTCAACCTTATGGCGTTGGCTGCATAGATGGGGAGCGTGTACGGTGTTGACAACATGCCACGCTTCTGTTTCCCGGACGATACTAGAAAGATGGGACAAAGAAATGCAGAGGGACAGCAGTCCTGTGCCTCTCACAATGCCACGTTAAGTTCTTAGAATTACATTTGGATTACACGTATAACAGATTACTAAATGGATTGATGTATTTTACTTGGTGACACTGGGGTTGCATGTCATGCTCTTTTGCCTTTTCTTGCCAAGGCTATTCCTGTTGATAGTTATGGGTCGTTTCGGTGCCAGGCTTATAATTCAGGCACAACACGAGCTTGGCAGTGAATGGGAGTCATGGCTGGTTAGGAAAGATATCTGAAAAACAAGTAGGGGAAGGCGCAGGGGAAAATGACGCTAGCATTGCCACCTGAAGAGACAGGGATCTCCAGAGTTTCAAAAACTCATGAGTGGAGTTTCTCAAAGTTATTTAACAGGGGGGAAAACCATGAATAGCCTTAGTTGTACATGACAGGTATACTAAAGAGTGAAAATGAGGATTAGATATAATGAATATGGAGGCTTACATTTTATTTTATTTTTGAACGTGTTATATGTGAAGCTGCTTAACAAACAAAAACTCTTTCAAGAAAGTTAAAATTTCTTTTTGAGCTATTTGATTCCCCCCCCCATAAAATTATTTTGCAGCACAATTTTATGCATGTTTACTTGCAAGTAAGTACAGCGGGACTTAATTTTATGTCAATAGGCATAGAAAGTCAGCCACAAAGTCCCTTCCCCTAGTCATCCTTAAGCTGCCGTTCCTTTTGATTCCTATACCTTTGTTTTCGGTCTCAACACCTGATTAACAATCATTGGTTTTTATTTTTTATTTATTTCAAATGTATACTCTGCCATTTGGGGCCGACTATGGGTGTCGAAGCAGCTCACAATGTGTGCTTTAAATAGATGGCACCAGATGGAACTTTCCATATCAGTTCAGTTTAAATAGGGAAAGTGTTTGGCTCCAGATACCTGCAGCACCCTGGCTCAGCGAGGGTGATGTCATCTGTTGGAACAGCCTTCTGTGCCCAAATCCCTTTACAGATTAGATCCCTATGTGCAAAAAGGGCACAGGGCAGGTTGTTGCCCTTGGTGCAGTGGGATTATGGAGAAAGTGCCAAGCACACAAATTAGTACCGTATTGTCACCTTCACCTGTTTGGTGTATTGGGAGACCTTATTTCATGTGAAGAGGTAGGGAGATCACTGCATGAAAGATACCTGGATTGTGGCTACAGCCAGTGGCGTAGCGTGGGGGGTGCAGGGGGGGCCGGCCGCACCGGGCGCAACATCTGGGATTAGGGCAAATCCACAGGTTAGGGGGCGCAAATCCACGGGTTAGGGGGCGCAAATCCACGGGTTAGGGGGCGCAAATTACTTGCCTTGCCCCGGGTGCTGACAACCCACGCTACGCCACTGGCTACAGCATACCAGCGTGTTTATGTTCAGTAAACACTGATATGGGCTTAAATATTGAATATTCAGTGTCCCCAATCCATCTGAAATTAGTTCGGGTTATGTCCAACTTCCTTAGTTTCAGCGGAACTTTACCCCTGCACATGGACCCAGAAGTAAGCATCACTTTGTTAATAATAATAATAATAATAATAATAATAATAATAATAATAATAATAATAATTTTATTATTTATACCCCGCCCATCTGCCTAGATTTCCCCAGCCACTCTGGGTGGCTTCCAACAAAATATTAAAATACAGTAGTCCATCAAACATTAAAAGCTTCCCTAACCAGGGTTGCCTTCAGATGTCTTCTAAAAGTCAGGTAGTTGTTTATTTCCTTGACATCTGATGGCAGGGTGTTCAACAGGGTGGGTGCCACTACCGAGAAGGCCCTTTGCCTGGTTCCCTGTAACTTGGCTTCTCGCAGTGAGGAAAGCGCCAGAAGGCCCTCGGTGCTGGACCTCAGTGTCCGGGTAGAACGATGGGGGTGGAGACGCTCCTTCAGGTATACAAGGCCGAGGCCGTTTAGGGCTTTAAAGGTCAGCACCAACACTTTGAATTGTGCTCAGAAACGTACTGGGAGCCAATGTAGGTCTTTCAAGATAGGGTCTCAGCCTGCATACCACATGGAAAAACTCAAAATATAAAACTGGAAAAAAACAGGGAGGCGACCAAGCCTATCTATGATGTGATATTATTTTACTTAGAAATGTGTGTGGGGTTGTTTTTTTTTAAGCTCTTTTCCTTTTAAAGTGGAGAAGTGTTTGCAATGTAGGTATTTGCAATGGGGTGGGGGGAAATGGCTGGGGGCCAGGAAATTGAAACAGTATGAAGTGGTAAAAATGGGCCGCTGCACTGCATACTGTACGCAGGTGGGGGGATGTGTGGAATCACGTTTCTGAGTGCTCCCCTGTGTTAAAAGCTCGTCGCAAGTAGAAAACCACCACATAGCATGCAAATCTTTCTCCTTGATCTGCTAGCTTTCTTTTTGCATATTGTTTTCCCCAACATGAAAGTTGAAGGCACAACTTTATTTCATTCAACTGAAGTAAAATGTAGTTTACAAGCAACATCATCAAAACCCAGGGTTTAAACACCTTTCCTTTTTTTTAAAAAAAGCCTGATACCTTCTGGGCTTTATTTTCTAGTGTGGACATTTTCTGTTGTGTTTATGGTTCAGAAAGCTCTCTCTTGGTGGTAATTAAATGTCCTGCTTGAGTTAGTACTGCACTTTTCACCCTTTCACGTTTAATTAATATTCACGTGGAAAACTTTTCATGAACGATTTGTACTTGTCAGGAGAAAGACGCGACCTAACAAATTGTCTCCCTGCAGATGTGAAATAGAGGCAACGTTAGAGAGGCTAAAGAAACTGGAACGTGACCTGAGCTTTAAGGAGCAGGAGTTAAAAGAACGGGAGAGGCGGCTGAAGATGTGGGAGCAAAAACTAACCGAACAGTCCAACACACCTGTGAGTACATACAAGGCTTTGAATCTTTTATTGTACATCGCAGTAGAATTTGGATACTCCCAACAAAAGCTGGACCCAAAGACCGCAATGGGCTGCGCTCTCCACTTTGAACAGCAGCAGGGATGACCGGCAGATGGGTTGGGTGCTGCACACCTGGCTTTCCGACAGCTGCACTGCTGTGTTTATCAGGATGGAAAGATGGCAGGAAGGTTGGTGCAGCAGCTGAGTTGGACCTGCCCCTGAGCACCAGACTGCCATGTTCTGTTGCCTTTTGAAACCTCCCTCACTTTCAAATGTGGTTTGTCCTACAGCAAGGGTTGTTGCCGTTTGAGAATCAAAGCTCCCTTGGAACCAGCTCTAGTTGTAGTTCTTTGAACTCCAGCAAAAGTGTGTCTTAACTTTCTGCTGAAGAGTGGGGCATCAGATATTTTAAACAAGTGTGGCTATAGCCCGTTGCCTCCATTAATAATAATAATAATAATAAATTTTATTTATACCCCACCCTTCCCGGCCAGATCCAGGCTCAGGGCAGCTAACACCAGTAAAATTACAATAAAAACATAATTTGGGGGAACCAATTTAAAATACAGGTTAGAATGCAATTTAAAATGCAGTCTCATTTTAAAAGTAGCCCATAGATCAAAACTGTAATGGGAAAACATAAGGGTCAGACTGAGTCCAAACCAAAGGCCAGGCGGAACAGCTCTGTCTTGCAGGCCCTGTGGAAAGATGCCAAGTCCCACAGGGCCCTAGTCTCTTGTGACAGAGTGTTTCACCAAGTTGGGGCCAGTACTGAAAAGGCCCTGGCCCTAGTTGAGACCAATCTAACCACCTTGTGACTTGGGGCCTCCAAAGTGTTGTCATTTGTGGACCTTAAGGTCCTCCGTGGGGCATACCAGGAGAGGCGGTCCCATAGGTACGTGGGTCCTAGACCGCATAGTTAAGTGCATCCTGAAACATTCCTTCTAGTGCGTTACAAAAATGAAGCCCATAAATGCGGTTGTTCTAGCTAACTCTTGGCTAATAATGGAGGGGGGAGGAACCCACAGCTGCATGTAGATCATGCTGCTGGTGTGTGGGAAGCCCTGGTACAGGGGGCCCTTAAACAGCATTCAGTTTCAGACCACTATTGCTATTTTTGTTTCAATTTGCACTGCCACCGCATTTGCTTACGAATTCCAAAATAATAATAACAACAACAACAACAACAACATATTATTTATACCCCAGCCACTCTGGGCGGCTTCCAACAGAATATTAAAATACAATGGTCTATTAAACATTAAAAGCTTCCCTAAACAGGGCTGCCTTCAGATGTCTTCTAAAAGTCAGGTAGTTGTTTTTTCTCTTTGACATCTGGTGGGAGGGCATTCCACAGGGGGGGGTGCCACTACCGAGAAGGCTCTCCGCCTGGTTCCTTGTAACTTGGCTTCTCGCAGCGAGGGAACCGCCAGAAGGCCCTTGGAGCTGGACCAAAGTGTCCAGGCAGAACGATGGGGGTGGAGACGCTCCTTCAGGTATACTGAACTGAGGCCATTTAGGAACGTAAGGTTCCAAGTCCCTGCGTGTGCTTTAATATGCACACGGAGCTCTTGCACAGATATTCTCCTCCCAGTGGGAGGAAGGAGAATACCCAGGCATTCAAGGAAATGCATGGTCAGATCAACTTCCTCCATTGAAGTGAATGCTGATGCTGCTCCATAAAGTGTAGCCCTGTGTGGGCATCAGGGCTCATACACCTGCTAGCGAAATTCTGAATAATTGCAATTTTAAATGGGCAACCATAGCAATATTTAGGATTACAAATACTCTCTATTATACTTACATTCCACTTTTCCTCCCAAGAGGCGCAGAGCATCTGACTGGGAGTCTTTCTGGGATGTCCACGTAAGACACTGACCAGGCTGTGATCTGCTTGGCTTTAGTAGTGTGCTAGCATAACTGCCTTCAGACTGTTTTTATGGGTCACATATTCTTAGAATACGAATAAATGAATAATGAACAGCCTGCAAAATTGCATATATACAATTTTTTTTTATTTTTAAAAAAGTGATTGGATTCCGTTAGCAAAATCAGCAATTATGTTACTATAAGATTTGCTGCATATAGTAGAGCTGGGCCCTAAAAATAGTCTGGTGCAGGAAGGAGGTCGAGGAATCTCTATGCCAGTGGTGGAGGCACAGTCCAAAGCAAGGCTTGCATATGGGCAACGGATCTTTGCTGCTGGACATATTAGACGTTCCATAAAAGTCGATATATAAATAAAGTGCAAAGCACAAGTAACATTTTCTGCGTCATCTTGATTAGGGAGTGAAATCAAATGTCCAAGGAAAGAATGCAAGACTGACAACTGACCATAGAAATGTATATATATATACTGTATATGATTGAACAGTATTACCGTAGCATTTTGCGGCATTTGTAAATAAGCTGTAGGCCTTCCTATTTGCATTATGCCATTGTGTTGCATTTTACTCCCCCCCCCCAAAGAAAACCCCAGTGGGCGCTAATTGACTTTCTTCCCCCACCACCAAAGAGGGAAAAAACCCACCCAACATCCATTTGATCCAACGTTGCTAGATTCTGCATCTTTTGCCATGTGTTGCCCTTCTACGATTGCCTGTAGCTCACAGGTTGTAATCACTCTTTAATTTTAGTACCTATTTTGGCCTGTTCACTGTTTTTGCACCTTCTTTCTGAGGCACAGCTTAATGACATCTATATGAATCACGCTGCATGTGTATTCCAGCTGTGAACATGTAGTAGCATATAATGATGAAGCACAGATTTTTCCCCAGAAGCAAGGTTCTCTGTGTTCTCAGTAGGCAGCCGGTAGGCTCCCCTTTAATGTCTTCGAAGATCCAGTAGCTAAGATATGGGCCATCACCTACATGGTGCACAGCATGAAACATAGCCCTAATGAGCCAGTCTTCCCGCAAGCAAGGCTAGCAAGGATTTTTATGCTGCACTTGCTTATCGCTTCTACTGTTCACCGGCTGGCTTTGCTGAGCGAAGGTGTTGTGGCGAGGCCCCATTGTGCTTAGCATAAACCTCCTTTTTGTAGGACATTAATACAACTCTCCTTTTTTTACAAGTAGGGACAATTCTGTCGGCAGAGAAGACTTAAGATAATGCAGAAAGTAGAGTGCCTTTCAAACTTCTTAAATGGATTGTCATGCAGCTGAAAGAGAATCTGTCAGATTTTTTGAATAATGAAAACTCTTGCTGTTTTCCTTGACTTGCCTCCGTCTCCACCCCCCATTTTGCTTTATTTCTTAAGAATTTTAACTTCAGAACTCTTCTATACACAAAAACAAATCCTAGATACGTTGACATTAGAAAGGACACAAATGTCCTCTGCTGTCCTGTGAAAATGGCTGCTGTTGTTGACAAGAGGTCTATATTCTTTCTTCATGGCAGTAGAACAGGCATAGGCAAACTCAGCCCCCCAGATGTTTTGGGACTACAACTCCCATCATCCCTAGCTAACAGGACCAGTGGTCAGGGGTGATGGGAGTTGTAGTCACAAAACTGGAGGGCCGAGTTTGCCTATGCCTGCAGTAGAAGTATTAGGATAGTAAAACTGCAATGAGGGAGAAATAAACCTGTGAAATGATTTGCAGGGTGTTCCTTTTCTGCATTTACTGAAAGTCCTTCCCTGGCACCTCTATATGGATGAAGGGCTAGGCCATTGTCTGGAGCAGTAAAGAGTGACTGGAAGTGAGGACCATAGAGTCTTCAAAAGGATAGGGCACCTTTGAAAAGGAACATGTCCAGTCCTACAAATGGCGCACTGGAAACCCATCGCCATAGAGAGGTTTGGAGGGGCAAGGAAATTAGATTCACTAATTTCTAGCACAGTGGCTCTGTTCTCACGTCACCATGAAGCACATGGTTTGCCTTGAACACACAAATGGACCTGACTTCGCTCCTCCCCTGAGTGTGAGCAGGGACAACAAACCACTATGTGAAACAAGGCTATGAGACTCTGCCTCTCTCTGGTGGCCCCAACAAAGCATAATCCACTCTACAATTCATGGAAAGCTCCCATCACCATATGAAATGCAAATAGCAGGTTCTGAGGGGCAGTTTTTGTTGGTACCATGACAGGGAGACAAATAGTTAAACTTCTCTTTCCCACCTCCCAGCCTCAAGGGTGTGCAGCTTGACTGCATTCACACAATCAATGTCACATCTAATTTGGCCCCAAAACATGGGCTTTAATTGGGACCCTCTAGGATAGAACCTAATTTTGAAAACTGGCATCACCAGTTATCTCACCACAAGAGTAACCACAACTACTGGTGTGAATTCTTCTTAAGTCTTTCAGACATGGGCTGCCAGGGCAAAGGGAGTGGCATTGGATATATTGTCCAGGGTGCTGAACAATTAGAATTTAACTCAAAAGTGCTAGGATTGCGAAGGGTGACCCATAGCATTACAATCTGGGCACTGGTTACTCACCTCTTGATTACTGTAATACAGGGGGCTGCCTTGGAAGGCTGTTCATAAACTACAGTTGGTTCAGGCTCCTGAAGCTAGGCTTCTTGTGGGGTGTGATGTGGGGACTCACGGTACTCCCCTTTTGTAACAGCTGCACTGGCTCCCTGCTTCCAGATGTTGCTCATTTTGTCCCATAAAGCCCTAAAAACAGCTTGAGATCAGGTTATCTGAAGGACCACCTTTTTCCATATAGTCCTGACTGAGGACTAATGCCTTCCAGAGGCCCTTCTCACTTTCCCTTTAGGAATTCTTACCGTGACACTGCATAAAAAGGCCTTTTGTGTGGTGGCCCCTCCATCTCCAGAGATCTCTATGATTCCTTTACCGTATGCATTTCAGAGAGCAGTTGAACCTTTCACCTCAAACATTTTAGCTCTTCAACCTAATTTTGGTGCTGTGAATTTGCTCATATCTTATTGGTTTTTTAGGGTTCCCCGTTCTGATCTCCTTGGGAAAGAGCAGGATATAAGCTTATCCAGTGCTGTTTTTCTAGAAAA